TTGTTGTTGTTAAGTGCCATCGAGTCAGTTCTGACCCATAATGACCCTGCATAGGGTTTCCAAGGAGTAGCTGGTCAGCTTGAACTGCTGACCTTGCAGTTCAAACAGCTTTGCAGTCTGGCGCATTAACCCACAACGCACTAGCTTCCCCAATTAAGTGCTTGGAGACAGCCCACTTCAGAAGTAAGCTTCCTACCTGAAGTCACTCAGCTATTTTGCTTCGTGGGCCAGGAAGCCTGTCACTCTATCTTGAGTTATTAGTGTTGCTGCGTCTGCTGCTGCCACTTCTCCACTACATCTGTGTCCCCTGGAATGAGGAGGTTTAGCATGCAAGGATATCAGGATCCAAAGGACATGCTCCAGTTCTAGCTCTTCTTTCTTGGTGGTAGTGAGAAATCCCATTCCTACTTCTGAGATGGCTCATTTAAAACTCAGTAGAATGGCAAGACTGACCAATCTCTTGGTTAGAGTCCCATGCACCCTATTTGCCTGGTCTCACCCATTCATTTGGTAGGAGTTAGAAAGACTATGGGTAAAAAAGCCATATCAAGTAATTTACTGTACCACAATCTTAATGTAAAGATCAAAAGATTAACAGACCATTAAAATATTCTATATATTCTGTCTTACTGTATTTCAGAAGAAATTCTTTAAAATAAGAGCAGAAATAAAATAGTAGATCTAGTTAGCCAGTAATTTAGAGCATTAGAACAGTGGTTCTCAGAGTGTGATTTGGGGATCTCTGGAGTTCCTCAAGACCCTTTAACCAGTTATAGGAGATGAAAACTTTTTTATAATAAAAGAGATTTCATATCTTATATAGGGACTTTAAAAAAATCACAGAAAAGTTCCTTTTCTTTTAAATTCTGTTTTTCTGTGAACTTTGTGAAGCCCCCCTCATACTCTCATTCTCTTAGGAGTATTGTAGGGTTTCCCAGAAACTGTATAACATATGATATTGTAACAGACTGAATACAGCAGCAAACTACAGAATTCAGATGTCTTCCATTAAGCCAGACATTAAAGAGGTTTGCATAACTTTTAAACAGTATACTCTCTCACTTATACCTATGGTTAGATTTCAAAGAACAGGTTGTTATGTAAAAATCAGTATTATGGGAGTATGAAGTTTGACCATATTAGATCAGAAAATGGAGGATGACTGCATTATCACACAACTACCAGATTGCATCATTGCAAAGCTGCCAAACCCCTGAGAATCCCAGCTAAGTTAATACATACATAACCTTAACTTTCACATCCAGTGGTACTCTTGTCAGTTGTATGCCAATACACAAAATAGTTGGAGAGCAAAGTAGATTTTTTTTCTCTCTGTTGGCTCTAGAGGAAGGTCCTTTTCTCAGCATCTGTAGGCTCAGCGTTCTGCAGAAATCTCCATGGGTCTTGGCATCAAACTTTCCTGGGTTCTAGGAGCTTCAACATGCAGGGATTCCAGGTCCAAAGAAAACTCACCAGCCCCAATTTGAAGCCTATAAAGGATCACCGGAGGTCAGAATTGACTTAACAGCACTTAACAACAACACTACCACCAAGGAAGGAGATCCAAGAATGAAGTACATCTTTGGAGACAAGGACCTTTCTCCAGAGCTGACAGAGAGAAAGGCTTCCCTGATAGCCAGCACTCTGAATTTGTACTTCTAGTCTCCTAAATTGTTAGAGGATAAATTTCTGTTTGTTAAAGGCATCACTTGTTGTATTTCTGTTATAGCAAAACTAGAGAACAAAAATCATGTTCATGAGTACTGTCCAATCTGTCTGGGTGGGGCTGATGAAAGGAGATGGGGATAGGTCTCTTGTGTTACAATAGTGAATAATTGTTATCAGGACTCATTGTGAGGGTTGGAAATGCAAAGGTAGACGTTTTGTAACAAAAGGAGGGGAGTGATTGACTTTGTAGTCTAGGAGTGGAGGCCCCTGGGACCATGAAGGGAGAAGAGAGGAGAGCGGGACCCTACCCAGAGAAGCAGTGACGCCAGAGATGGAGGCAGAGACGATGATGTGGAGAGATGGAGCGCTGGGGACTTTAGACCCTGAGAGGGAGAGGGGCTGTGTGCTGATGACCGGGGGACAGGCTTGCAGGGTATTCCCTTTGGTTGGTTGATGATGCATGGAGGGGATTGTAACCATGGCAATGAAACGATATATGATAGGATGAATGTAAAGCTAATGTTCTACCATGTAAACTATCACCTAGTTCACAATAAAACATTTTAAAAAATCATGTTGATTGACTTGACCTCACAACATGTTGTAACCTTACTATCTTACAAAGTCAGAATGTCAGTTACTTTAATCTGGTCTTTTGTCACTGCAGTGCTACAACACACAGCGATCTTGTTCTAAGAGCAGCGAAAAGGGGAATCCCTTATCGAGTTATTCACAATGCCTCCATAATGAATGCAGTCGGATGCTGTGGTTTGCAGGTAATGCTACAAAGACAGTTTTTTGTTGTTGTTTTTGTTTTTAATGGGATCACGCAAAAAATGATTTCTATTTCTACTAGGTGCAAATAGAAAAGTGTCAACTTAATGGCACTTAATAACAAATCTTTAATGGGGACGGATTGCTATATCGCGATCCATATATATTAAGCACCTAGTGAGTTAAAAGCTTAAATTGCAAGTACTTGATTTATAGTGAAAACTTTAATTCCATTTTCATTCTTAACATAAATTCCACTTCCATTTGAGTATTCAGCTTCCATTTCATATGCATGTGAAAGTTTGACAATAAATAAGGAGGTGTTATTAGAAGAACTGATGCATTTGAATTGTGTTGGAGAAGAATATTTAAAGTACCATTGGCTGCCAGAAGGACAAATAGGTCTGTATTGGAAGAAGTGCAGCCAGAATGTTCCTTAAAAGCCAGGATGCTGAGACATGTTGTCTCATATTTCAGACATGTTATCAGGAGGGACCAGTCCCTGGAGAAGGACATCATGCTTGGTAAAGTAGACGATCAGCAAAAAAGAGATGGAGCCATAGAGTGGCAGCAGTGGTAGGCTCAACCCTAACAATAATTGTGAGGATGCCACAGGACTAGGCAGTGTTTCGTTCTGTTGTGCATACAGTCACTAATTTGGAGCTGACTCCATGGCACCTAACAACATTTGATTTCCTTCTGACCCACAGTATAAATAGCTTTGTCCTCAGGCAGGGTGTGTTTCAGAGTAAATTATGCTCCTCTTTACCAGCCCAGTGGAGTCCTGGTTTGGCATTGCAGGTTAATGCTCTGGACTGTCAGGTCGGTTTGAACTGCAAGGTCAGCGGTTCAAGCTCAACAATTGCTCCTTGGAAACTCTATGAAGTCACCATGAGTCAGAACTGACTCAGAGGTGTTTAACAATAACAGCTAGCCCAGTGAGTACTCCTGGTGGCTCATTAGGTTAAGCACTGAACTGCTAACCATAGGATTAGGGGTTCAAACCCACCATCCACTTCATGGGAGAAAGATGAAACTGCTCCTTTAAAGATTTACAATCTCGTAAACTATGAAGTCCTGGTGTAGTCCTGTTTGATAAGCACTGGACTAAAAAGTCAGTTTGTACTGCACAGTCAGTGGTTCAAACCCACCAGTCTCTCCATGGAAACCCTTATAGGGTCGCTGTGAGTTAGAACTGACTCAGTGGCCCTTAACAACAACAGATCCTATGGAGAAGTTCTCTTCTGCCCTATAGGGTCACTGTGAGTCAAAGTTGACTTGGCAGTAGGTGTAGGCATCCCAGGAATGGGTAGTCTGGGGATGCCAGCACTGCATGGGCATGAGTCATCCCCCCAACTCTCAAGTAGCCATGTACTCATAGGGCTCCAGAACCAATCCTGTAAACAGTTTTAATTTGCGTTTGTATATTTTCCCAGTCTTGGATCTTTTCCCACTTCCATTGTCCCACTAGCAACAGTAATGAATTGATCTGCCACCAATCATGATTTTGTTATGATTTTCTTTGTTTTCCCTAAAATGAGCCATGTTGCCATGAATTCTGTGGACATCATTATTGCCTCATGTTGATGGTCTCTCATCTGGCTGATTTGTCTCTGTCCCACTCAAGAATTTAAAAAGGGGTCTCTATAAAATATACTTGAATTTGTGGTCTTTTTCCTCCTATAACACCACTAGCCTTTCTTTTAGCAGTCTGTAGCTTTAGAAGGGTCTGTATTTTCTGTTTTGCCTGAGAAGAGTAGCTCAATTTATTAACCCTAGCTATTCATCTTAGAGCAGAGTCTTGGTGTGGTGCTGTGGGCTGATGTGTCAGACTGCAAAGTCGTTTGAACTGCAAGGTCAGTGGTTCAAGCTCACCAGCTGCTCCTTGCAAACCCTATACAGGGTCTCTATGGGTCAGAATCGACTCAACAACACTAACAATAACAACATTCATCTTAGAAATATTTGTCTTTGGATGTGAAAGACTAGAAAAAACATATTATTTCCCATTCAGAATTCAAAATTTGTCCTTAGTTATTTAATAAAATAGCATAGACTATCTTTGTCTTCTTCCCTCCTGAATTTAGAGATCATCTGAAGAACAGATTTGATGAATTAAACACTAAAGACCGAAGACCAGAAGAGTTGTGGGATGACATCAAGAATATCA